ACAAGATCGCCGATTCCGTACTAGCGGTGTTATTGAACATCGAGAGTAGCCCGGCTTCGGTCAAAGGTGAGAATAACCGTGGATGTTGGCATTGTGTTGATATTTCAAATATCGGTACTTTGGATGTACTTAATAGCATCTAAATTTGACAGTTACGAGGCAAATACATTCTCACATTCCGGATGAAGATATGACAATGGAAGTCGACGATGATAAAAATTCAAAAGAGGCCGATGATTCAACCACTAAGCTAATTTCTGTATCGTTACGTATTGAGGCCGTGGAATATTTAAAAAGGCAATTTGGCGAAGCATATAGTAAACAAGATTCTGATGATGAAATTATCGTTAAAGTGGATCAGGCTATCGCAGAAGTGAACATCGATACCTTGGTGACTATTATCTTTTTTCATATTATTCCATTTTTTGTTGAGAATCGAATTGATTGAATTTATTGAATCTATGCCACAGGAGATCAAAACTGACGATGAAACGCTCCGTGATAGATTGACCAGCATATTACCTAGAGTATTGAGGTTTTTACGACCATTAGAATCTTGCCCTGAGTAGATCGATAGTCTTGCTTAACTATTATGTCCAAAAAGCAATTTAGTTGATTTTAATCTGTTACTCATTATTTGACGGACATAAGGTTTTCAGTCAAATAACAAGCATCTATAAACCTCTGATTTGTTAACGTAATCCAAAATGCGTTTTAAAACCATTGGTATTATAACTATGTAAAAAATTCAAAAAATAAATATTTGAATTTTATTGATTTTTTTCTTTTTGTGGCATTAATGAGTAACGATTATTTGGTTTTTTAAAAAATTTTTTTTATTCAAATTAACATTGTTCATATTTTTCTATTACATCAAGCATTATATTTTTAACATTCAAATATATTTAATTTTGTTACTAGAGATTTAAAATATTATTCTGTATGCTCATTATTTATTTGATGTAATATTATAATCAAAAATCTTTTAATATTGAGTTGTTTTTTAGAAACATTTAGAGTTTATTAATAATATCAATTTTTTCAAGAATAAAATAAGTCAAATATTAGTAAAGATGTTATTTGTTTATTATTGATATTTCAAAAAAAAATAATAATGTTTATTTGAAATTTTTAAAATCATTAATAATTAATAAAACACTTCAAATTTATTAATTGAAGAAATTATATAAATAATAGTTATACAATATTTTATTATAATTATTTGAATTATTTTTATTTTTTTTTTTTTGAAAAGAACAAATGGCTATCACACTTTATTATATTATTATACTTTCACTTACAATGTAAAATACAATAATCAATAGCATGACATACATTTCTCTTTGCTAGAAAGAGTTTAATACAAGGCTCCTATATGGGGCCCAGCCCCTGTACTCTTTTAGCACCATTCAAGGAATATAGACAAAAAGAAATTCAAAAATCTATATTTAGTTATAAATGGCATCCAGCTACTTGAAATTAAATAAATACCTAATCACATGAAGATGCTGCAGCCAATCTATACAGGTTAGTCTCCAAGTCATAATTAGGATTGGCATACCTGCTTTTCAAATATAACTTGATATACGGCAAGCAGAGTGGTGTTGAAGGTGATGAAAAATGAGTAACTTTTTGCATAAAGGCGCTACAGTCACTTTATACAGGTTTGCCTCCAAGTCACAAAAAGGATTTGGTACATCCATGCTTCAAATATAGTGGAAGTGTCCTAAGGGTAGAGTTTTTATTGGTTTTCTTAATGGCACCAGAACCTAACCTTGTACAATAGACCTACATTATCAGAGGGATAAACGAGAAATTTTCATTGTCGTCACCAACTTGTATTGCAGGAGTAACTAGAATCCCTAGTCATCACATATTACCCTACTAAGTTTCCCAATCACCAGCATGACACTTGTAACTAATCTAACTTATTGCTAGTTGCATTGGCATTGGCTGCCATTTCATTTTGGATATTGTGAAGTGCAACTCCTTGGGTACTTTCGGATAATAATAGTTGTACAGAGGTTTCTTGGGTGTATTTAGTCTAATCGCCAATCGGTAAACAATGCCGGGTTTGGTAATAATGACCATGTTAATCTTTTGGAGGAGTAAGCCATCCATTCTTTTTCTAAGGAGCTATGAAGAGAGAAAAATTCCTAAAGCCCACATCCTAAGAAAAGTTGCTGCTTCTTAATATGGTCCTTGAGAAAAGAAAGTCAACTGGCCAGAGGAGTGATGTTATGAAGATGAAGTTTTCAAAAGAGAGAGAGGCCTAGGGAGGAAAACCTTCAGGGAAAAGAGAAAAATCTAGCTTCGGCAGGGGGAAGGAAAAAGAAGGAAGGGGTAAAAGTAAAAAAAAAGTATATAGAAGAGAGGAGAAAAGATAAGAGAAGGAAAATAAAGAAATATAGGGAGGAGGAAAAAGAAAAAACAATAGAAAAATAAACAACTCAAAAATTTCCTAAAAAAAAAATTTTCAAGTGTAGAAAGGCAAGTGGGAAAGAGTTTTTTTACTGATTATCAATTATTTGAATTATTTAAATTGTTATAATTATATAAATTTTATAAATTTTATTTAAATTTTACTTAAATTTTATATATACTTGTTCTAGCTAATTTAAATTTTACAATAATATTATAATAAATTTTTCAAACAATTTGAATTAATCAATTATTTTTTAAATTTAAATTTGATTTTGTTATATTAAAAGTATATATAGTAAGTGATTTTTTATTTGTTTTATATAAGTATTATAATAGAATAATTAAATTCTATTATATTATTTATTATTATTACTTTAACTTTTTTTTTTTTTTGTAGGTAAACATCATTTCTTTATTTTATTTGTATATAACAAGTAAGAATCACAGTTTTTATCCAAATCTAACTAATCCGTGAATCAGATTGAATCAAATTTTAAAATTTTTAATCTAATCGAATACAAATTGAATCGAATTTTAAATTTTTAAATCCAGTTGGATATAAATCAGATTCAAATTAGATATAGCTTAATCTATATAAATTATTGAATAGCTATTTAATTTTATTTAAATAGAAATAACTAGAAAATTAAAATGAAAAACTTGTTTTTTTTACTAATATATAAAACATTATGTTAAAAAAATTTAATATCTATTTGCTCTATCCTTTCAATAATTTTTTAAAGGTAAGTTTTATATATCAAAAAATTTTTTAAAAAATTATTTTAATATTATAACTTTATATTTAACTGTTTTAATTAATATAGCTTGTTTTTTGACAATTTAAATATTTTTTAAAAATAGAATATGAAAACTTATCTGATAATATACAATACTTGTAGCAAAAAAAAAAACTCTTTTCCACTCCCCCTTCCTACGCTTGAAAATTTCCTTTTTAGGAAATTTTTGAGTTGTTTACTTTTTTTTCGTCTTCTCTTTTCCTTTCTTTCTATGCCCTTTCCCCATATTTCTTTATTTCCTTTCTCCTATCTCTCCCCTCTCTTCTATATACTTTTTCCTTTTACTTTTACCCCTCCCTTCCATTTTTCCTTTTTCTTCCTGCCGAAGCTAGGTTTTCCCTTCTCCCTGAAGGTTTTTCTTCCTAGGCTTCTCTCTCTTTTGAAAACTCTGTCTCCATAACATCACTCCTCTGGCCAGTGGACTCTTTTCTCTCAAGAACTATATAAGAAGCGGCAAGGTTTCCACAGGACATGGGCTATGGAAAGTTTTTCCTCCATGGCTTCTCAGAAAAAGGACAGATGGCTTACCCCCTCCAAAAGATCAACATGGCCATCATTATCTAATCTGATGTTGTTTATTTGTTGATGGTTAGACTAGATATATCTAAAAAACCGGTGTACAACTATTATTATCCGAAAGTATTCAAGGAGTTGCGCCCACAGTATCCAGAAAGATATGATAGCCAATGTCAATGCAACTAACGGTAAGCTAGATTAGTCTGCAGGTGTCATGCTGGTGATTAGAGAACCTAGTAGGATAATACATGAAGATCAGAGATTCTAGTTATCCCCGCAACACGAGCTGGTGGCGACAACAAAAGTTCCTTGCCTACCCCTTTGACAATGTAGGTCTCATTGTACAAGGTCAGGTATCAGCATCTTTAAGAAACCCAAAATCAAACTCCACCCATGGAACATTCCGCCACACTTGTGAAATAGGTGTGCCAAATCCTTTTCATGATTTGGAGACAAACCTGTATAAAGTGGCTGTAGCGCCTTCATGTGAAAAGGTAATCACAAACAAAAAATTTCCAACACTACTCTGCCTGCCGAACATCAAGCCACATTTGAGAAACAAGTGTGCCAGTCCTATTCATGACTTGAAAGCAAACCTGTATAAAGTGGCTGCAGCACCTTCATGTGATTAGGCATTCAAATTAATTTCTAGATAGCTAGACGCCATTTAAGACCATAATATAGGTTTTAAATATTCTT